GGCAGGAACCAAAGCATCCAAAAGCTGGAGGTCAACAGATCTTGTTCCGCGAGGAAAGGCGAGACAGAGAGGCTGCTGGAAGCAGGAGCAGCGCAACACACGAGCCCGAGCCACGCTCGTGGGGCTGCGAGAAGGGTGCAGGGAAACAGAAGGTCTGCGGTCCAACGCTGGGACGTAAGAGGGGGCTGGAGCTCCTGACAGAGGGCGTGAAGCTGGGTAACCATGGCTTTATCCTCGGTGAGGAGTTCCGTAATCACATGCCCCCAGTGCACACATCCCTGTCTCCTGGCACAGCACGGGTACAGCTGTGGGGCACGGCACGGCACACCCGGCCGGCAGGGGCACACCCGGGCCAGCACAGGCGGTCGGCAGGGGCACACCCGGCCGGCAGGGGCACACTCGCCGTCTGAAGCTGCTGAGGTACCACTGCGCACAAGGGCCGCAATCGGCAGATACACCCAGGCGCAGGAGGGCTGTGGGTGACAGGGACACCTCCGTAGGAGAAACAGAGGGACCCTGTGAGAAATACCTCCCGTGGCACGTAGCACCAAACTCACCATTGTCAGTGAATCACTCTTACTACACAAAAACTACCACAGGACAGTTTGTATTACAGGAGCTAAGATGCTTTGCTGCCACACAGATTAGAGAACGAGTGGGAAGTCCTCGCTGTCTGAGCTACATCCAAAACCACCCCAGCACAGCACGGACACGTGTGCAGTAAGCCAGCTTCAACCCCAGTGTAGCCCCACCAAAACCACTGCCAGGATGACCAGCATGGCACAAAAAGCTATGGAAAAGAGAAGAAAAGATCGCTAATGTCATCTCAATAACCCAAAACGAGACCAACTTTTTTCCACAGTGGCAGAACTCCCTGTTGGGAGCTGGCATTTCAGAGGCACCTTCCCCAGCTCTACAGCATCCACAGGCATTACTGAACCGATGCAGAAAGGCACAAAAAGTGATTCTGCATCAGAATGTCAGTATTGATAAACCTGAAGTGAAATATGAAAACTCAGCTGGTGTCACAAGCAGCTCCAACCAAAGAAGTCATCTCATGCCTCCTGTCGATCTGAAGAGACAACCCTCAGCTCAGATCAAGTCACACGCAGAGCTGTATCTGGTTTAGTCTGTGCTAAAGGCAGCAGTAAACCCACAACGGGCCGATTCCCGCTTGCAGATACAGGAGCGCAGCCTGCCTGTCCCCATCCAGGCTTTCCAAGCAGTGAAACCACACACGTAATAATGAGGATTTCTGCAGGAACTATCAAATGGTCATAATCCACCATTTATCCCGTTTCTATTTAGCTTCTAATCTTATCAGCTGGAAACATGGGCAGTTCAGGGCTGGTATAGCTCTGCCTCCATAAACCAGCAAGCGACACAAAAAACGAGGTATGGGGGCAAAATTCTATTCACCGCTCGGGGCAAAACCTCATTCCAGGTTTCCACAGCTGCCAGTGCCTCCCGCGAGACAGTTTTAGCATCAATGCCTGTACAATCGCTCCGAGGTGGCACACAGGAACGGAGGAGTCAGGACGACGCAGCACCGCAGCCGCCCTGCTCTTCTGGGCCGTGTTTCGGGGTGCACCCTGAGCACCCCGCGGGGCCGGCTGTGGGAGCAGCAGTGCCCCGGGCAGCTCCCAGCCTCGGGGGACGAGAGGCGAGCTCTGCGCTCGGACCGTGAGCGTGGACTGGCCCCCGCAGCCCGCTCGTGTGGGCGCGGGCAGGCAGCAAGCCATTGCCAAGGGGCTGCGACACAGGCAGAGCAGGGTTCAGGCCGAGAGCCCCGCGCCAACGCTGGAGGGGGACCAGCTCTCCCGCCACGACCAGCCGACCACTGTTCTGCGCCCCAAAAACAGGACTGTGTGCGTTTCCCAGCACACCTCCCATCCCCTCGCTGCCATCCTCCCATCCCCTTGGAAATTATTGCTCCTTGAATGCAAGGAAATAACACCAGGAGAAAATATCTGCCACTGTTCAAGGGCGGGAACTCCCGAAGCACACAAAACCGAGGTATTGCAAAGGAAAACTCCTGAATGCCGCAGAACCCGAGGAGACGGGGCTCAGGGTATTGCCAGGTGCTTTTGAGAAAAAATTCCACGTGAAACATTCCCTTTCCTTTAATGCTGAACTCGCGTTGAAGCCAGCAGTTATTTGCAACGCCCAGAGATCGGTTGCTACCGAAAACCAGGGCAGGCGCCTTCCTAACACGCCACGGCCCTTGACACCTCTGGTGATTAGCGCTGTGCTGGCTGCTTCACACGCTGCTGCCCAGAGAAGAAAAGGCAGAGCAGGGACTTCCACAAAATTCCCAGAGAAACACACAAAGGGGAGGGGAAAAGGAAAAGAAAGAAAGAAAAAGAAAAAAATACTTCAAACCCCTGCTCCCGGCTCCAGAACAAACGGCATTTTCTCACCCCTCTCATCCCTTTGATGGAACATAAATTAGAACCACAAATAATAATCCTTAGCCCTTCTGCAGCGCCTTTCATCTGGAGAGCTCAAAGCTCTTCGCCTATTAATTCATTAAGTCTGGTAACACCCCTGCAAGGGGTGGAAATATTACAGTGTTCAACTTAAGAAATAAACTGACACCCCGGAGCTCAAGCAAGCTGGTTTTGGCCTAAACGCCGTGGAAGCAGCCAACTACGTGTGTGTGTCTCCCACCGCCCCCCACAGAGCTGCACCAGAGGAGGGGCTGAGGGCTGCACAAGACCACTGCTGGCCATTAACCCCAGTGCCAGTCACCCCATTTCAGACACACAGGAGCAGAAACAGGTATTAGAAGGTTCACCCAAAGCCAGAAGGAAAGCCACCGAGTCTCCTGTACGAGCATCTCAACGTCTGCCCTCGGGCAACCCCAATCAGGCAGCTAAGGGAGAGCCAGCTCTGCCCCGGCACTCGGTCACGCTGCCGTGCCAGGGGTGATCTCTTGTGAGAATCTGGGAGGGTCCAAACCGCTGGGCGGTAGGCGAGCCGTGCCGCTGCTCACAACCGAGGCACCAAACTGCACCAGGACAGGTAAACGAGCAGCATCCTAAGAACAAAGCGATATCCAGCGGGTGGAACATACAGGAGCCCAAACCACCCCGCGCTCAGCAGGGACCTTCAGTCGCTCCTCAGCAGCAGGCAGAGCCCTGTGCCGTCCCCAGGGGACAGGCAGACGTCCCGGCACAGCTCTGCGGCTCGTTCGCCCTCGTCCGGGCAGGCTGGCAGCAGTCCCCCGATGCCCCACGCCAGCTGCTCCAAGCCCCACGAGCTGGACGCCGCTTTCACAAGAGAGGCGACAGCAGCGAGGACGGCAGCTGGCGGGTCCGGAGGAACGTGATGGGGTTTAATGCGAGTGACGGAGCTCTGCAGAACTGCTGAGGGTTGTTACACAGCCGAGGCCGCAACAGTACTGGGCTCAGAGAGAACGAAATGCTTTCCAAACTGCTGACGCATCTGTCTCCCTTCCTCACTGGTTAAAGAGGTAAATGATATTTGCTGCGTCCGTCGCAAAGCACCAAATAACGTTTCACCAGGATAATGTTTACGCTTGGCCATGCCAATGCCGAGTACTACGTGAGAGCCCAACTCCTGCCTGAAAGTATCTTCAGATCTTAGGAGGAATGTTCAAAGAGAATACAAACTGCTGCTGTTCTCATTCATTTTTATGGAGAATATTTATCTGCTAAGAACTAAATATGCAGAAAACAAAACAGTCACACCTTCGCAGCCTGCAGCCTCTGCGCTTCCCTCAAAGCAAAACCGTGTCAAAACAAACCCTGTTACAAAAGGAATTCCAGGCGAGGCATGATAAAAGCTTGTAAAAAAGCAACACCCCACCACAACAAACAGGCTCTGCACGCTGTGAGATGGATCCAGGCAGCAAAGGAAATTAAACCACACCAGGAGAAAGCAGAAAGGGCTGAGACGCATCAGCAGCCACAAATAATTGCTCAGGAAAGACGGGAAGAAGCAAATGAAGGCGAGGGCTGTCTCCCTTTGACATCTGTTACCCCC